AGTCTTCAGGATTCGGCAGCAGCACTCTGGAGGAGTGCTGCAGGAGTAGTAGTAGCGTTAGCAGTAGTCTTCAGCGCTGGGCGCTAGTAGGAGCTAGAGTAGCGTTGGAGAGAGAGAGAGATGGTTGGCGGAGGCCAGGGAGACTTACCTRTGGCGCCATAGCTCCAGCTTCGTCTTCGATGTACCTGCAACAAGGCGCCACCTTCACAGGTTAGTACCGGACTGAGAGAGAGAGAGAGTTCTTCTTCTTCCTCTTCAAGTCCACCATCTCTTCCTCACCCTCTCGCTACCTGACTTCTCAGTCTCTGCAGACTACGAGAGAGAGAGATTGGTGACTTTGGGAATTGACGACATTTGGATCCAGACTCGACATTGGGATTCAGACATTTGACGAGGGATTATTTGGTACCTGTACCGAAGACTTGGTGTTGACGACATTCCCATCTTCCCCTCTTCTTCATCTAACCCCCCTCCTCTTCGTCTGTGTATGGTTGGGGACTGGCACTTCTTCCTGTGTGAGCGCCAGGCCCCTTCACACCACGGAATGATGATGATGTATGTCTGGTCTGCATTGCAACATGGATTGTTCGGATCATTGGTATTTAAGCCTTCCGCTGTGCTATCTTGTACTATGTGAGAGACGTCGGTTCTTGTTCTGGTCTGTACCGTTACGGTATGAGACAATTGTGCTGGTCACTGACCGAAGGACTGAAGGCATCTGACGTGGCACGGTTGTCGGCTGACGTGGCCTGCTGACGTGTTACTGCTGACGTGGCCTGCTGATGTGGTACCATGTTGACGTGGCAACTCGCCAATGCCAGCGACAGAAAAGGAAGAGGACGAAGAAAGGAAGGCAAGAGGAAAAAACAGCAGCGTAGATGGGGTGGGTGCGAGGGGAGAGAGTGGTAATACTAGTACTTCCCCACCCCCATGGGATCACCTTGATGACCCAGATAATGAGCCACTAATCAAATTTGAAAAGTTCGAACTTTGCTTCAATAACAATAATTTCAAAAAAAAAATAAAAAATTGAAATCGCAAGTTCGGTAGGTCTCCCAATCCCCAAAGTCCCGATGTTGAAACAATATAATGAAAAATATTTCCAACTTCGGACCGCAGATTAAAATAAATAATAATTAATCAAGAACTGCTTAAAGAATATTTGCAAGTGTAGGTAATTGTAATGAACCCAGTGTGGCAGATACTCAGAAGTCGTCAAACATCAGTAGTCTCATTATCTGCATCAAAGTCTCCAAATTGTGAAGTGATATCTCAAACAGTAACTCATTACCATCACAAGAAGAGAGAAGAGGGGGAATAGACAAACGAGAAGATGAAAGATCACACAGTAATCCCTTCTAAAAGGGTCTTTACCCGATTCAGAACCTATTTGTGAAATGCAGCATAGAGGGGTCACTC